TACTCATGAGTCTGTGCTGGAGAGTTGGAAGAAATGAGCAGCCTTGAGGAAAAGCTTTAGAGGGATGACTGGGTGAATCTCTGGGCAGGGAGGCTGAGGATATCTGAGATTGTTCCCAAAGCATAGCATTCCAGAGACCAAGAGGTATATTGACAGACCATGGAGAGAAGTGAAGGGGGCGAGTCAAGGGGTAGAAGCTCAAAGCCGTGCTACTATAAGGACACAAGAGGCTGTAGGTGACTAAGGGGCTTAGCTCCTTCCCATGGACCACAGAATGCTGCGTGCAAGGCAGGGTAGAGAAGCAGCCCATGAACTCCCTCTTGGCATGGGTGGACGTACAGGTGGGAACAGTCCCGCCCTTTCTGAGAGAGTGTGTTTCCCAGAGTTGCCAATCTCTTCTCAGTGCAGAGACTCTGTAGTCTCCAAGGGAAGTCAGATTAGTTGTAAATCTTATGTATCAATACATTCTAATTGAAAAAATACTAATGTATAAAATTTAAAAAAAAATGGGCATCATTTGTTTTGCCTCTTTCTTCTCACTGCACTTCCAGAAGAAATCATTGTTATTGTAAATGTTTTGGCAAATTTTCATTAAGCTTTTTTTTTTTTTAGTATGAATTTACGTAGTAAACTTATATTTGTAAGTGTATACATAAATGCGTATGTGTAAGTGCATATTTTAGGGCTGGAGTTGTGGCTCAGTGGCAGAGCGTCTGCCTCACACATGTGAGGCACTGGGTTTGATACTCAGCACCACATAAAAATAAATAAATAAAATAAGGGTATTGTGTCCACCTGCAATGAAAAGTATTTTAAAAAATAAATGTGTACTTTATACATATATATGTATGTATATACACACAGCCAAAGATACTTAAGTACACACACAGACTCCCACACGTATAATTTTATCAAAAACAAACTCATCCTATATAATTTGTTTGCCAATTAAAGCTTAACAGTGTGTCTTAGAGATCTTTCCATGACAATAACTGTACAACTGCCTCATTCTTTTGGAATTAATTGCTCTGACTGTGTACTCTGGTCTCAGGCTTGTTGGATGGATTTCTGCAGGACACATATGTGCTCCTGGAGTAGTTAGAGGTCTGGTGTGTTTGGGAGTTCCACTTGGAACTCATCTACTGGTGCTTGGGAAAAGAACATTGAGGGGCTGAATCTTATAGGAGCCCAGGATAGACTATTACCCAAGACAGGTCCCATAAATCCAGAATATCCTTCATTGTGGCTGTGTAGGCAGATGTACAGTGAGGGTTACATTGTGAGTTCTTACTAGCATTGCATGGAACCTGTCTAGCCTAAGTATGAACTGGAAGCAGCTTTTCTTTCTTTTAGCCCAGGTGCTGGTAGAGAGGATTCAGGTGACTTCTCTCTGTGTCTCCTCTGTCCTTGCCCTGTAATATGCAGAGTAGGAGCCTCTACCTTGGGTCCTGCTTGAGCTGGGTCCAGTTTGCTGGTCTGGTTTCAGCCCTGCCAGCTTACCATGGTGATTTGTGCTGGTACAGTTCAGGGAATGGAGAGAAGATATTTTGTATTTGTGGAAAATTATTCTTCACCCCATATCCCTGTGCTTCTAATGGTACCAGAAATGTGGCCAGAACATCAGCTCTTTGCAATATTGCCTTTAGATTTTGTAATTTGTGTAGTTGTTTTTGTTGCTGTTAATGAGGGTGGCTTGATGAACGTAGGCTATTTCGTACCTTGATGTCCTTGTTAATTAGTTTTTGTATGTGTACTTTTTTTCTTTAATTACTCAACCTGAGTTCCTGTTTCAGGTTTGTGGATACCGAATAAAGCTTCACTTTGATGGATATTCTGATTGTTATGACTTCTGGGTAAATGCAGATGCTCTGGATATTCATCCAGTTGGGTGGTGTGAGAAAACTGGCCATAAACTTCATCCTCCAAAAGGTATCATCACTTTTTGTTTCATATTTTAAAATCAGTAAGTACCTATTTGTTTAGATGTTATCAGATAAGTAAAATGCTCAATCTCCTCTTCTGAGGCAATGTTAACTTTAATAAAATTATGAAAATTAAGGCAAGGATGGTTTTCCTTTGGTGATTTGGTAATATCCTTACTTCAGAAGCCTTGAATTGTCATTTTTGTGGTGATAAGCTAAAAAGATCTTACCTGCTTTATTAATATTTCTTCAACTTCCCACTTGTCCCTATAATATTCTCCCAAAATAGAATAGGTGAGGAAAAAAATAAAATCCATTACAGCTCTCAAGTCTGTACTGCTGAGGATTCTAACTGAATTCTGATGGAAACAGCTTGATGATCAAGAAAAGTGCACATAGGTGTAAAATGTATTTGCTTCCTTACACATTTTCTTTGTAGCCACCTCTATTCATTTAGAATTGAAAAAGATTATCAAAACTTATTGAAACTAAACACAGCTCATGTCTCAAAATGCAGTTATAAATTATGAATTAAATTTTATTTATTGAAAAAAATTGTGCAAATGCTTGAATTTGGCATGTTGAAGTTACAGATAAAAGTCGGACTGGAAAAGTTAAGTGCAAAATGTTTTGATATTTTACTAATCTGTTCATATGTGCTTTTACTGTAGGATACAAAGAGGAAGAATTTAATTGGCAGACCTATCTTAAGACATGTAAAGCCCAAGCTGCTCCTAAGTCATTATTTGAAAATCAGAATATAGTAAGTATATCCAGAATACTTTTTCTTTCAAAGGAAGTGATTTTTGAGAGTCTTATAAGATAAATTACAAGTGAT